TATATATATATAAATATATGAAAAGAGACAAACGTTTGTTAAAAGGGCGGAGTAGTTATTTTTTTGTTGGGCCAATTAGTCGCATCCGATCGAATGTTTTCATTTAAGAAGAATATAATCAACGACATTTATGTCCGACTTAGTATTTCTCTTTTCTCTCTTATTTTATTTATAAATTGTCTCATCTGAATTGCTCATGCAAAGTCTTATCTGTTTACTTTCGTCCGAATTCTTCTTTTTCTTTTTGTCGAAAGGAAGAAGTAAATTGTTAATTATGCTTTTCATTGTTCACACCTCACGTTCATTCTATATTTAATGATATTAGCAATTATTTGCTTTCGATATCTGTCTCTGTCTCATCAATTTGATCATTTATAAAAGAATCGTTGACCAGTCATTGTTAATTTTATTTTTTCTTTTACACTTTAACCAATAGAATTTCTTTTTCTCTCTTTTGCAATCACTGATAGAACGAATAATCGTTAAGAGAAGAAGAAAAAAGAAAAAGGGGAGAAAGAGAAAGAGAGAGATTTTGTCTGCTATTGATAATCGAATATTTCATTTGATAATGTTAGGTAGTAGTAATCCATCGACATATCTATTAGCAGATAGTTCGAGAATGTTTCATGATGAAATATTTTCTGATGATAATGGTAAGAAGGAAAAATCTTTTTGAAAAAACAAAAAAACTAATTTTTATTTTTCTATTTTAAAGACGATTCAAACAATATGAATAGTAGTTTAATGAATAATCATAATAATGCTAATATTCATAATAATCCAAATCTTAATGATGATAATATTCGTCGATATCGAACAGCATTTTCACGTGAACAATTAGCAAGACTTGAAAAAGAATTTCTTCGAGAAAATTATGTTAGTCGACCAAGACGTTGTGAATTAGCAGCAGAATTACAATTACCAGAATCAACGATTAAAGTAATAATAAATTCATTTTCTTTTGTTCTTCTAATCAATAAGATAAATTATTATTAATATTAGGTTTGGTTTCAAAATCGACGAATGAAAGATAAAAGACAAAAATTAGCATTTGCATGGCCAGGTTATCCTGGTGATCCATTTTCTTATTTTTCCTATATGTATGCAGCAGCTGCATCAGGCTATGTTCCACCATCACCAACACAACCAACTGGTAATCCAGTAATACCACCTATGAATTCATTAGCAGCTGCAGCTGTACGATTAGCTGCTGCAAGAGTTCGATCTACACCACCATCTCAAATACTTAATGGTTCAACAGATACAACAACAAATTCATGTTCATCAGCATCATCACCTACATCATCTAGTTCATCACCAAAACAAAATCATCATCATCAACAACATTCACCTTCCAAACCTTCAATTAATTTTGCTCTTCCAGCAATGGGTTTAGCATCGTTTATAACCAATTCAGTGAATGAATCAACATCATCAACAACTAGCACATAAAAGAACAAAAAATTAAGCTACATTACATTATTTCTAATTCTTATCGCACATTCTAGTCGAACAATGATTTCTCCTTCTCCTTCTTCTTCTTCTTCGTAATTCGATGGATTTTGTACAAAATATTGATTTCTTTTTTTTGTCTTGTGTGTTTCTTTGAATCATTACAAATAAAGTTTCAATAAATAGAATTATTCCATAAATCGTTCAATAGTTTTAAACTCTTACTGATATTAAGATCGATTGATAGTAATATGAATTTTTCCTTTGAAGACTATCCTATTACTCTCATTATTAATACTATACAACGGTATAAATGTCGGCGTCGTTGATCGCATCATCACGTCATTTATCTTTCTAATATAAAATTCATCATTCTTTTTTTTTGCCTATGCATCATTAGTCGATTACTTGTTAATAACCATGTTCACTCTCTTCTCATGTAATAATCAATAAACTTAATATATTTCATGTATTTTTATTTCTTTCTTCATTGATCAATCATTCAAAAGGATGAAAGATTCATCTTCTTATCAATCTTTCGTCTCAATCATTTTGCTAAATCACTTCGTATTAAAAGAAAAAAGAGACACAAAAAAACTAAAAGGTGTGAATCGATAACAGAACAGGTCATAAAATAACAAGTGTATATTTCTCTTTGATGAATACTTCAAAAAAATAATACAAATGAAGTTTTACGATGTTTTATTCTTTTGCAAGAAAAAAATGTTTCAGTCTTGCATCATTCTCATATTGTTTTTGATTTATTTATTTTTTTGATAATAATAAAAAAAATAAAAATCAATTTTTTATATTTCTTTTGATGCCATATGTCGTAGAAGACTGGACATAAATTTTTCGACTTTTTTCATATCTTGTACATATTTAGTTTTATATTGTAGACATGTACGATTATCAGTTAAACGAATTAGAAGTTTTTCATTTCGATATTTTAAACAAAGACGACAACCATTTGGATCATTAAGATATAGTCGTTCAGCTTGTTTAGCAAATTCTTCCCATGAATGTATAAACATCTGAAGATATGTATATTATTACAAACATACAAACAAATAAAACAAAAGAAAATGGATCATTCCGATAGAGATCTTTTCTGTTTTCTTTAAAAGATTAATAACTACAGAACAAAATGAGAAGAAGAAGAAGATGAAGAATATCTGAATTACAAGATAATAACGTGATTACTTTTATTTAAGAACAAACGAAAGAGAAAAAGAAAGCAAAAATGACACACACGAAAAAAGAAAAAATGACAATATATATTGACAATTGGCGAACTGAATTTGTACGCTAATAGTGTAATGTAAGAGAAAAAAGATCTTTGTTCTGATATATAGAAGATGAATAGATGTATAAACATCAGTGAGCCGTTTTGTTTTTGTTTTGTTTTAAAGTAATTGTAAATCAGAAAAACAACGTTCCATTTCATTTTGTAGAATTTTACAACGATCACGTTCACCTTGTAGTTCTTCTAAAATAATCAAAATATTTATTTATTTTTTCATAATTTAAAGTGATTACTAATTTTGTGCAGAAACTTAATCTTATGAAATTAACCTATCATCCATGACAGATAAAAGAAAAAATATTTATAAGTTGGCCGAATTTCTCATTACTCGAAAATTTATATCGTTTTAAAAATGGGGTTTTTATGTATAATACCTCCGTTATCACATTTATTCAATAATCATGATCGAATATCAATATTGACTTTTCTATGATAAATGGAACCTTAAGAAAAAAGAGCATACTCTTGTGCTTTGATTTTTTCTATTAAATAATAAAATATTGTAATATAAATATAGAACTGCTCGATTCTTTCTTAATGTAGATCTCACATTTAGGACTCTAACACCCTCGAGAGTAGAGCCCATCGGGTCCACAATGTTTTGGGTCCGGACCAGACCCGAAGCCAGATCCGGGTCCAAGTTGGACTCGATCCTGATAAGCACTAGCCTGAACTCGAACTGTACTTTCAGACTCTCAGCAAATTTTTCTACTTAAAATCTGACAGTTGCTTCGAAAATAGCTTTGTTGTTGTTGTTTTTTCTATTATTTTTATAAATAAATTCAAGACTTTTTGAATGAAATGAATAAAAAATTAAAGAAATTCAAAAAAATATTATGTTGATAACACATTTCTTTCGATTCGGACCCGATGGACTCTACTCGAGAGAAACTTTCTAGTTAGTTCAAAATTGTCTTTAAAAACAGAAAGGATTAAATTATAATATTAATTTAAAATCAAACAAATATTACTGTGATAGAATATATATATATAGTGACATTCTAGATAAAATCTAATAATCATGCAGCATACAAACCTTCAAGTAGATCAACTTCACGCTGTAGTCGTTGTACTTGTTTGGTAGAATATTCCGCACGTGTTTCAGCCTAGACATGCATAACACAGCAAATTAAAAATCATGCTAATCAAATCAAACAAAATACAAATCTCATTCTTTTTTGTAAGGTATACCTGCAAGAAATTCTAGTACTTTTTGTAGAGTATCTCGTTCGTTAAAAGAACGATCTGCTCGATGTTCAGCCTAATTTTTTGTATTTTTATTAAAAATAACTCTCTTTCAGAAGAAAAATCCAAAAACAACTTACATCTTTTAAATGTTCAGAAAGACGACGAATTTGATCTTCATAACTTTGTTCTTTAGTTTGAGCCTAAATAAAAACAAAAGAATTCAAATTATAGTAAAAACATAATATATAAATATACATACATCATCAATACGTGCTAAAAATGATTTTAATTGATGATGAAGATTTTTCATTTCATGTTCTAAATCAACACATTTCCTAAATAAATAATTAGATATTTTTTCTTATTAATAATAAAAAATAATTTATTTTTACATTTCTGATCGTTTAGCTCGATCTTCAGCTTTTTCAAGTTCATTTTCTTGTATTAAAAGTTTTCGTGCTACTTCATCATATTTTTTATCGGATTCAGTAGCAAGTGCACGAGCTTCTTTTAATTGAATTTCAAGCATTTCGGAACGATCACTTCCAAGATTTAATTGATTTTCTAACATTTTTCTTGTTCTAAATAAATTCAATTCGTTTTTTTGATATTAGTAATGCAAAACATATATACCGTTCTCGTTCATCAGCTGTATGCGATGCTTCATCAAGTTTAGTTGTTGTTTGTACTAATCGTTCTTCTGTACGTTCAAGTTGTTCTTCAAATGAATGAAGTTTACGTGCTAATTGACTAACTTCAGCTTCAGCCTATATAATATATTTTAGAATATTAATAAAAAGTAAAATAAAATTCTAACATACAATTTCTCGTGCATTTCGTTCTTTTTCATAATCTTTACGTGCACGTTCTAAATCATCTTTGATTAATTCAAGTTCATCGCGTAATTGTTGCATTTTTTTTCGTAATGCATCTGCTGCTGCATTATTGACTGCTGAACGTTGCATTGTACTATTACCATTATTAATATTTGCATTAATTTGAGATGTTGATGATGGAAGAAGACTTGACATTTTACTTTTCTATTAAACAAAATTATTGATTCTTAATATAATAATGCATCTGAAAAGAATATGATTATTGGTAAACGATAGATAAACACAGATCATTTTTCAGCCAATAGTTCCTATAAACTGTGGCGACCTCATTCTAAGCGATTCCATATATATAGAGCGTATATTCATATCTATACCGACTTCTACTTATAGGTAAGAACTAAGTATTACATGATTATTATAAGATAATCATTAAGTTTATCTGATAAATATCTTGAGTATGTTAGTTATTGGGACAGAAAAAAGAGGATCTGATATTTTTGAAAGCAATTATCGGACTCAGCTAACACGTTCAAAGGAAGTAATAGGATTAGGATCATATTCAAAATTTATGAATCTGACGATTTGTAATTGGATTATAATCAAAGAAAAGATTCATATCCTTTTTCAAAAAGAAAATGTGTCTATAAGAAATAATCGAAACTACTTACAGCTAAAATCATTTTTCCCCTATAACAATATGAAATAAGTTTTACTTACTCTGGTTAATTATATATAAAATAAATAGTGGTATAGAAACAATATTCAATATTTATATTATATTAAAGACTGAAAAATATTTTATTTGTTCTATGTATAATATATACATACCAATGTCTTTCTATAAGTGGGAGTAGTTATGTATATTTTGTTATAAACAAAGAAAGATATGATTGAAGTTTTGTAAGATTCTTTTCTTCTCGGTTAGAAGAATGCAACTGAATTAAGTTGCATAATGATAAAACGATAAAAAGTAAAACATTAGAGTGCATAGAAAAAGAAGAAAAAAATAATCGAGTAAATTTACGAAAAACTCATTGAGTTTTTCACAAATATATACTGTTCATCTTTAAATAGAAGAGAAAGAGTCAAATCATGTTTAACTTGGAATCATGATCATCATCATTATTACTAACACTGTTGTCTCAACGAAACAAAAGGAGAAAAAGAAACTGAACCCGAACGATCAAGTTATAATCACTGTTGAATCGACAAATGAAGGGGGCAAGCAAGCAACTGACTCTTCGTATGCATATGGCTATCGGTTGTTTTGGCCGTCGTCCTTCCGTTCGTTTTTCTCTTTTTCTCCCGCACACATCAACCATTACTACTACGCAAGCGGT